GGGGTTGGCGGTACATTTATTTTCCACTGCCATTGTCCTCGTGAACGAAAAGGGAAGGGATCCTGAAGCTCTTTTGTCGCAGGGTCAAATTGTTGCTCAAGTTTTCAACAAAACGTTTCATATTAATATAAAGTGACATTTCAAGGCAAAACCAACGGCATCTATAACTTATTACGGCGATCGTACAGGAATTATATGTAAACAGCTTCGTGCTGTTTAAAATAAAATAATGTTGCTCGGTTAATAACTCGGAAAACATCAACACTTGCATTTTTTTAATAGCGGATGTGAGTGCGCAACATTAGTGACGTGGACAAACAAGAACAGGACAGTGACCTGACTATACTCTGTTTTAATATTTAAAAAGAAGCACGCGTCGAAATCACATGCTGCAACAGCCCATTTGATCCAACTCTTCCTTGGAAATCATGCTTTAACATATAAGGTACATTTAAAAAATATATGTCTGATCTGAAAACATCATATGAATTAATCATTCTTTTCCTGTAAGCACTTAAGACACAAGTTCACTTGCAGGCTCGCGCCGTGCACTGCGCAGGGCACTTTCCCATAAAAAAAATCATCGCATAATTAAGGTCCAGATTGTTTCTTCCGTTACAGATTTGATAGTAATCTGGACCAGTAAAGAAATGAGTCAAACTGCCCTACTTGGTTAAGGTCGGGGCCCTCAACGGAAAAACGGTTGTTACTCTGCAGTGGGCAATCGAGTAGGAAGCGTGCGAAACTGCGTTAAAATAGTTCTAATAAAGTAAACAGGATGTATGATGTTATCGCTAGAACTGCCACGGTTTGACATATTCATAGTAGCAAGTACTGCCTGATGTTTTAAATGTCGTTTCTAACCCCATGACATTATGCGGCAAGCTGTTTAAGAATCACAAAGTGACAAGTATATTAAAATAAACATGCTCCGACCAGTTCGTCCACTTGCAAAATACTACAATCAATCAAACCAATTTACATCTATCATCCACGCTAAAATCGGGTCCTAGGTAAAACGACGAGCCCACTTTTTTTTCGGCGATGTATTTCATGCAGAGAGAGGACGACATGTGTGTATTTTTGAATTGAAATGTCCAGTTGATCATGCCTAAAACGTCAAAACCTCAACTTCCTAAAATGGATCAGAAAGAAAACTGCACCCAACGCTATTTGGATACTCTGTATTTAAAATGTATGATTAAGCCACTGGAAATATCCGCGATATTTCTGGAATAGCCCTTTGTTATTTCCATCGCTATTTCAAAGGGGATACTCAACTGTGTCATCCAGGCTATTCGCTTTGCTCATGTGTTTTATTCCTTTATTACTGTAGCCTACTTTAAGAGCTACCATCTCGGCTCCTCGTCGCCCACTAAGTCTGTGTTTTACAGTGATTACAATGTACCAAGTACCGCAGCATTAACGCCACGTATAAAACGCAAAGTTTATCCATATGTCTTTATATCCTCCTTCGATTGCGTTCCGGTGTAAAACAAGTCTATGAGATACCAGGAAGAGCCTATTGCGCGTCAACATAAACACACCGATGCAAGGCTGAAACCTACCTTTCGGCTTATGGATCAAAGTCTCAGAGAGGGCAGAGAGATTAAAAAAACAGCTGAAGGTGAGACCCTGCGCTGTATGTAGAACTGCACACGATTGAGCCAGATCCATTATCCCAGTGGGGATTACCTTAAATCGGACGCGGTTTTCCTGCACAAAATATTTACGATCCTGTGTCTTGTCGCGATCGTCTGCAGCGGCGATCCAGACGGCGCGTGACACCAAAACGCCGCAAAGATCATTCACTAAGCGGAGCGCTTATGCCTGCACGGCGCTTCGTACTCACTACACCTGAGGCAGCAATGGTTTCTTCCATATTAAATCTGTTATTGTCTTATCAGCACAAAGTTCTGGCCATGCAGAGAAAGTGCATATGTAGATCAGTTGTCATTCCGCTGAGTGCACGTTGCACAGGCTACCTTGTTATAAGTACTACAACAAGTGAACGCATTTTCATTTAGCATGTGCCTTATACGTTTGTGGTTTGATTGAATAGTTCACTTGGTAGCCTATCTCGTTTTTGTGAATCTGGCCATCTAAGATTCAAACGTGGTGTCCGTCATGACACAGAATTTCACCAGTTAGTTTATACTAGGACTATGGGGGCATTTGACCATTTCTAAAATAATTTCTTTCATCGTAACTAATGAAAGTTCAGATTTATACGTTTCTACACCCAAAGGCACAGCCCTGGGGTGTAAAGCTGGCGAAGCTGTGGAAATTACGATATAAATACAGGTGTGATGGTCTAAGCTCCCATTCACGTTTAAGAGCTGTGTCGCTCTCGGAGATTATACAGATTCGTCAAAACTGGTGCCGCTTCAGACTGCTTCTTTATTTTTACATATAACATATACACAGGCCTAATTAAAGGAGTAGAATGCACCAATGTGATACAATGCAAGGGTCTGTTCTGGTCATATACTTCGCTCTTATATTCGCTGGTCTCATATACTTGCGTCCCCGCTTTATCCAGAAGGGATTGATGTAATTCATTCACAAAGCGCTTTGCGTCACTCTGCATGGCTGGTCTCTGAAAGAATAATATTATATACAGTATATGTATGCACATAGCTCTGCAGAAAACACGAGGGCTACTTAAAGCACACATTTCTTACAGTGCCAAAAAGCGAACTGAACGACTACGATAATAAAATCGAATTTGTGATTGTGTTTCAAATAGCGCGGTCACTTAAAACTGGAATTTCAGGAAACATAACCTATAAGGTGACTAGACTGGGATATGTTTTAATGATTTCAGGTGGTCTATTGATGGCAGGCTATACTTCAGATGGAGGTCGTTTCCTCATTTTAAACATATTGTGTCGTTAATGGTTTTACAAATTGAATTTTTTAAATCTTACAAAACCCCGATCAAATTTTAAATATGCAATATGTTAATTCTCGATATATTGGCGATTACACTCTAAAAACAGCATTATGAAATTGCAACTTTATTGTTTTCGTAATGTGTTTTGCTATTGCGGAAGGAGTATTATCTTGTTCTTTATACCACAGTTTAAAAATACAGTTGACTGCGTGATTTCACAGCTAGTAAAAGTACTAATTGACAATCAAAGCTAATTCAATTGGCCTTCTACTGTCAACCCCCGAAAGTACTCAATAAATGCTTCCCAACATAGGTTCATCCTAACTCCGATACTTCACGAAACCAGGAAAAAATTATAGTGGTTAGGAAATGCGTTTAAGTAGGCCTATAAAGACGAGTGTGAAAAGCGATGATAAAATAATACCGTTAAAACTGGAAATAACACAACCAGGCTGTAGAACAAATAAATACAACACGAAACGAAAGACGAGAAATAGCGTAATAAATAAAATATTGGCAAGGCGACCAAATTTGCATGTTGTTCACACGCCTAGCTGTGCACAGTCGCATACGGACGGCCTGACCTTGCAGGACCATGCGTTTCATTGCACCCCTGGGATTGACACTTTGATGGAGAGGGACGGACTTCCCCATACATTAGAAAGTCAGCTTCTTTATCCAGTCTTGCTAACTGGGACGATCTTCGTTTTACGACGGGCCAGCAAATCTTGCAATATGAATTCGTTTTAAAGTGAAGCATCTGGCCTAATTATTCAGAAAACTGTCAGGCGAATAACGTTTTTCTTAATTCTTTTTAACAAGGCTGCCCGGTGACAAAGGGTAGCCCGCTCCCCTCTGTTAGACAGCATGCCCATCTTCGAGGTCCCTCATTGTTAACTGGGATCAGTGTTTGCCCAAGATGTTCGGCTGCTTCTAACGTTCATGTAAAAAAAAAACTTGTAACGTACGCTTTAGTGCCCCATAACTGACGATCTGAGTCGTAGTCTCTGCCTTTGTTTTCCGTAGACTAGTTACCCAGGGACATAGCAATACAAGCGGTGTATTCTGCCACATCATCATTTCATCATCCCCCTTCTTTTACGTTATTTCAACGTCTGCATCACAAAAATGACTGTTACATCGCGGTTAGCGACACAGACCGGCGGAAACGAGAATGTTTTCCCTGCTCGCAACTCATCACCTAATTGGCTCGATTAGTAAATGAGTCAATAAAATGAATGATATCTTTGGATTATCATATATAGGTTAAATAATTAAATGTTATACTGCATTGTTATATGTTAAAGGAGATAATACGTGAATCAACGTGATATTTGAAGAATAAGTGCAATGGTTTTATTTTTCACTTCATATAAGAAGAAGATATGTAAAATCAAAGACAATAAATGGTCTAGCACAGATGATCAAACAAACCTGGTAAGGCAAACAAGATGGAAGACCTCAGGTAGCTTACGAACACTTTGATTGTCAAACATTAAAAGTCCTGCGTTGGGGAACAACTCTGTTCAGAGGAAGGCTAAGTAAACCTCAGGGACAATCAGACTCATTAGGAAGCTCTCCCACAGGCCTGATCTGGAGCACAAGTCCTTTTTGTTTCTATGGCGATTAGATTCGACTCATCATTAGCCAGCAGAAAGCAAGTTG